TTTAAAAAAAATAAAGACAATCGTACAGTTTTCAATCCCTCAAAAATGCACAGAATGAGGCAACTAATTAACTACTGCTTATACAAAAACTATCAATACCGTTAATCTGTTTTATTAAGAACACTTAGTAAGCGTACCGCAGCACATCTAGAGAAAGCTGTGTTAAGAAATTGAGCAAGTGCTCGCCAGCCAGGCTGCTCAGAGCACTGAAAGTCCTGACAGCCAGACAGACACTGTTTAATCACAGCCACACTCTTAACACACTCCATTTGGAACAAACGAGGATGGTTTTTGGCAAAGTCTCGTTCCAAAATCATGTCTCAGCTCATCACAGAGACTTCTACCCTCCCACACCGAAAGCCATGGGAAACAACACTGATGTAAAACCAGAAGCTGATGAAGCCCTTCCTAGACATTCTTTTCGGGTTATACTGCAAGCACTTTAACAAAAACTATCCTCACCCCAATAGGTGAGCGCTCAAGTCAGCAGTATCGTATCACCCATTTTCCTGAGGGGTCCATGTCAGTGTCCCCGTCCTGCCCTCGCTTCCCAGCCCATTCCCAGCTATCCCTCCCCCTCCCAAGGCGAGCTGTCCCCCGCAACGTGTTCCCTGTCACAGCGGGGCTGTGCTCTGTAGCGAGAACAAACATCCTCCCGGGAGGAGCAAACAGCGCTCTCCAAACAAAGCCCGCGTACCTGCCGGGGTGTTTATCTCTCCCGGAAAAGGTGGGACACCGCGCCCGGCCGCACAAGGATGTGCAAACCGGATCAGACCCCGGTGGCCCTGTCCCGAGCGCCCGTTCACGCGAACCGGCGAGCGGGGCCCGACCCCGCGCAACCCCAACCGCCCGAGCGGCGCAGGGGGCGAAGAGGGAGCCCTACGGGGCGGGACCCGCCCGCTCCTCCCGCGGCCGCGGCCCGTCGCCCCCCATCCCGCCCGCCGAGCCGCGCCGCCCGGGCGGTGGGGCCGCGGCCCGAGCGCCGCTCTTGGGGAAGCCGGGCGCCGCCTCACCGTGTGCTCGTGCTCGTCGGCGCGGGCGCGCAGCGGCAGGAGCGGCAGGAGCAGCAAGAGCAGCCCCGGCGCCGCCATCTCGGGCCTCGGCGTCCCCAGCAGGCCCCGCCGCGGCACCGGCCCGCGCCCGCCGACGACGACACTTCCGCCCCGCCCGCCACGTCACCCGCCCGCCCGCCGGAACCGCGGGGGCGCTACGGGAGCCCGGGAGCGCCGAGCGCTGCGGCCGCCGCCGGGGAGGGGCCGCGGGCGGGCACAGAGCGGGCTGGGCGGGGCCCGGAGCACCGCCCACCGTGGGCGGCACGGGTACTGCGGCCTCCAGCGTGAGCGCAGTTTGTTCTTGGCCGGTTTAATTACGCCTGATAAAATCGTGACATTTTAATCTACAGTTATTTGGGAACATCGCGGCGCAGGGCTGTGTGCGAGTACCCACTGGAGCACAAGTCCTGTGAGGAGCGGCTGGGGTTGCTGGGGTTGTGTAGCCTGGAGGAGGCTCAGGGGAGACCTTATCGCTGTTAAAATACCTGAAAGGAGGCTGTAGCCAGGTGGGTGTCGTGCTCTTCTCCCAGGCAACCAGCGACTGGACGAGAGGACATGGGCTCAAGCGGCACCGGGGAGGTTTAGGTTGGACATTAGGAAGAATTTCTTCACGGGAAGGGTGATTAGACATTGGAATGGGCTGCCCAGGGTCACCGGTGGTGGAGTCACCGTCCCTGAAGGTGTTTTAAGGAGAGACTCAACCTGCTTAGTGCCGTGCTCTAGTTGACAGGGTGGTGTTCGGTCGTAGGTTGGACTCTCACAGGTCTTTTCCAACCTAATTGATTCTGTATCATACGGGATCCCACCCTCCACACCCCTCGCACAAGCTGCATGAGCTGCAGGGGCCGAGGGTGGACACTGAGGCGACACAGCCACACCCGGGCCTCGCCTAAGGGAGGGTTTCCATCAGCGCTGGCTAAGATGAAGCCTGCAAACCTGCCTGTGTACTTGGAACTCCCTCAAGCTGCAAGTCCGACGTAAAAAAACCCCAAACAAATCCCCCAATCCAAACTTGGAACTCCCTCAAGCTGCAAGTCCGACGTAAAAAAACCCCAAACAAACCCCCCAATCCAAAAAGCTCATGGTATTAAGGATTAATTCATCAGACAACTTTTAAACTGAAAATACAGTAAAAAAATTTACATACAGTAAAAAAATTTACATACAGTAAAAAAATTCAGAGGCTATCCGATATAATATTAAAAAAAAAGGTGGGCTACACCATCTTCTCAAATATTGCACAAGCCAACAAATAGACAACGAGGGACGCAAGCAGAAGGCAGGAACTGCTCTGTGCTGGTACCTGCCATCCATGCTTTGTAGGAATGATGCAAAAACAGATTTTCTTGTTTACCACTACCATCATACTTACATTAAAAGCTTTTTTCCTTGTGGTGTTACACAGTCTACCAACCCGAACATATTTCGCAAGATGCGTTTATATAAAGCCTTTTCCAGATAGAGCATCTACCATGTCCTGCCTATCTTGGTAGAAGGTCCCTGCAGAGAGAAATACTTGCCAAAACCTATGCAAAAGCCCTGCTTATATTACACACACACACACACACACACACAAAGAAAACCTAGACAGCTTTGGTAACACCATATGTTTCTTTCTAGTCATTGCATCTCAGTCCAAAACAGAGTAGCTTACCCTTGGGAGACAGAGAGAAGAGGCTTCAGCATCTTCAGTTTATTCAGTACTTAAGCCTCAGTCAGCAACAGGGCCAGCCAGAGCGATCTGCTGCAGCAGGGTTTTCAAGGCTTGTTATACAAAGAGCAAACACTTTCCCTGGGCCAGCAGCTGCCAGGTGAGTTTGGTGGATTGGTTGATGCCCCCACAGCTGGCCAGGCCACTTAACTTTTACCAGCAATTTTATTATCTGTTCAGTCCTTGAACTCTACTGGCTGTCAGAAACACTCTTCATTTCCTCCCTCCCAAGCATGTTCTTGAGTAACCAACAACCTGGTTGCACGCAGTTTTCTTCTCTGGTCTCTTCTGAGCTTCAGTTTCAGCACACTTCTTATCCTGGGTGGAAGCAACATGCACCACGTGCTCACCAGCACAAATGGAGCCTACAGATACAAAGACTCCATATGTTGAGATGTAAGAGGTTTAAAGCAACTACACGAATCCAACCTTTGTGGAACATACACTTTGGTGGCTAAGCAGGGGCATCTCTGCTGGCCTGCAAGAGACTTGGAAGTCATGCGGGCATCCCAATTGTTTACCTGCATTTAACAGTGAAGCCGTTTTAGTGCTGTTCCTTTTCTCCTTGATAGGGTGATTGTTTTGTGGTGATTGCTGGTCAGTAAGATCCCTAATTAATCCAGCAGAAGTGAGACAGGAATGGCTGAGACTACAGCTGCATCTTCCATTTCCCTCCCTTAGGCAGTGCAGAAGGGGCTTGAACAGAATGCATTTATAATATGCCTCAGCTCCACCTGTCCCAGCTCACCTCTCCTCCAAAACAGAGTCCCACTAGCATTTGATTTTGTATGATAGGTCAGGTCAGAGTAAGGAAGTATCAGAGCTTCAAATGGAACAGGGACTGAAAGGCTACTTATGAGCTGCTTTTCAGCAATTCAGATATAAACCATCTCACCACAGCACTAACAATAAAAATCCAGTTCACAGACATATTATCAGGATTGTGCAAAGGCAACCCCTTAAGTACAGCACATTAAAAATTAGCTTGGAAAGATGGATCCCTGGACTGATTCAGTCCAACAGCTTTGAAAGGAAATCTGCATGATACACTTTTATATTTTTCTCTTAATTTCCTGCCTTATTACAGTCTTCCCCACATCCTACAATTCTACCTTATGCTGTGCCTGACAGATGTGGAAGCAGATAAATTCCTCTTATCGCATCACGTCTCCAAGCTCTGGGACACAGCTGCAGCCAGCACTAAGGAGATGGGGAATTTTTAAACAAAACCAGGGAGCGGTGTGCAAACCAAAGCATGGGACAGCTGAAGATAATCAAGCGGCTGAATGTCCTCTTTTGGCTTATTTCATTTATCTCTAATTCCTTCACTTATCCTTGCTACTATTTTCCTCATTTCAGCACCAAAACCTCCTTCCCTGTTTCCAATTTGACCTAATAGTGGTGGAAACCTTGTTTCATTCAAAGGGGAGCACAGGAAGGCAGCTCCCACCTCACCGTTCCCCTGACAACTGTGAACAAAGAGCAAACTGTCAGTGAGAGTCTATAGTGCCAGAGTTACTGGAGAAGGCACTGAGGTCCTTTAAATAAGGAAAAAAAACCCAACAGGAAGATGCCTCTGTAGCTATAGGCTTGCAGCACAACACCCGCATCCCTCTATCATCAAAAGGAGAGGGTATATAAACTGCATTTGGAGTCATACACTGTGATCTTAATGCATAGATGGTATTTAGCATATGCCTATATCCCTGAAAGCAGCAGGGGCTTCTCCACCTTTATTCAGTGCTGGTTGATTCACAGTTGCTGTCTTGTCACTCCTGCACTTCACACATTGGGTTTGCCACCCTGCAAGAGAAAGGAACTGCAACTTTGTGACCTGCTCTCACAGATGAAGAGGAGCTGACATGATCAGACAGAAGCTTTATGTGTCCTACCTGCATCTGAGGGATCACCTAACACACGTATATTTATGTCTTTTTTCAGGGCTAGAAGAGGGAGAATGGCTTGAAAACCAAGTAAGTAATGATGCTTAATTCTCTGCCCTGATTGTTATCTTGAAGAATTCCCATCAGTGTCACTCTTGGACATCCAGAGACCTATACTTGCCCCAAGGGCCAGGATATGCACAGAAGATTTCAAGATCTGGAAGAGAGCCAAACCAGAAAGCCTCCTTAAGTTTGTAAGCCCTCAGGCAGAAAAAGGCTGGACACAGCTGCTGCGGATTCACATAGCTAGAAAGGAACTGTAGAGCAAGCAGAGTCCAACCCCCAAGCTGCCTGTTTCCACTGCAGCCAGCTAAAACACAGCTGGAATTTGTGAGGTGTGTGCATTGATAATTGGAGACTCACTGTACTATTTCTGAGCATGAAGTGAAATGCCTTCATATTGCTTCTATGATGACTACATGTAAGAGATACAGAACACAGTACTGCCATCATTTCCTTCCTCTAATTTGAGAGGCCAGTCATGTGATTTTGTTACACCATACCCACCCCCTCCACAAAAAAAGGTTTAAGTACAGTTGGTTTGTGATACAGCAGGTTCCTTACCAACTACCTTGGAAATTTTCATGTTAAAAGCAGCACACACAACCCCTTGTTAATGTCTGTCCTCTTCAGGGAGGGAAGAGAAAGGAAAAGGCATTTTCAAGGCTGTATGCAAAATACATTCTTCAAGACAGAAAATTTCTCATCCTCCCATGGTTTAATGATTGCTGGAGGGGAATGCCATGTCTTCTGAAAGGTCAGTATATCTGTGCCCACAATGTTTTGCCTAACAGCAGTATATTCACCTGCTCCTGCTGTCATGAGCATTCTTCAAACAACTCATTTTCTTTAGTTTTTCAAGTATGTTTTCCAGTCAAGCCCTTGTAGACTATGTTGAGGGTTTTAGTAACAATGCTTATCAGCATTTAGTTCTTGAAAGGACACATGTGCTTTCTTGGTCAAAAGGAAACTTCATGTCGGTGCAGGGCTCCCAAGACACACATCAGCATTCTCCTTCCCAACCATGATACTTTTTCATGAAGCCCCAAAGCACCAAAATTCTTCCAACTAAAAAAAGTTATAGAAGGCCAAGAAGTCTCAGTGAAAATCATGGGGAAAGTCACCAGAGCTTTAGGGAGGAGGAAGAGGATGAAAACATTTGGGTCCCACTTATAAATAATTTAAGACAGCCAAAAAATATCTGTACAAACACATGTATAAACAGAAAAAAATCTCATATTCCAGAGATGTTGAGAAATTCAGCGACCTCTTGGTGGTACAGGTGGAGGATAAAAGTCTTCACAGCTTACAGGCCTATAAAAAGACAGAGAATAAAAATGCATGTAAAAATAGTAGAAAATAGAGTTCTGGAACAACACATTGTATGCAATAACATCATATGTGAGAATACTGTACAAGCAATAGTCATACAAGAAGAAAAACAGGCTATCACTGATTCAGCAACAGAGCAAATGCCAAGCTGCCAAAGCCCTGTTCCTGTCAAAGCTATTTTTCTGCTCTTCATCTGCAGTAATTCTACTATTACTGTGAAGAGATGCTAGAATACTTAGTTGGAGTAAAACTTTGATAGTATGGTAGCTTTCTCCTGAAAATTGTATGAAAAGCAATAGGAAGAGATGAAAAGATTCTAAGTCTTTTTTCCAACAGACTACAGACAAATTCCAACTATATTCCTTGCCAGAGCCAAGCCAACATACAGAACTTGCTGCACCGACACAGTGGTAATTACTGCTTTAGCAGTTGGAGAATTTTATTAGTATCTGTACTGAGATAACTTTCTGGGGCTTGGACTTCACAGACTTGCACTGGTTGGCCTGTTTGGAATGTTTACAAGTTACTTAAGTTTGTGGTGCCGTGCATGAACCTCAGTGACAGCACTGCAGCAGGAATGTTACCAACTAGGAAACTGATTCCTCCAGGTATTACAGATGAGAAACAAGGATCTTACAATTCCTAACAGTGTGTGTTGGACAGATAAGAGTCTGGTAGATTTTGTTCAAAGACACACTTGCTTCCTGCCCTGCTGCCAGCCTCACTTTCTGTCCAAGGCTTCCATACGGATTCAGGGAAAACTCATTTTTGAGCTGCCTTTTAGCTTTACCTGCTTGCACCTCGAGGAGGCACTCTGGGAGGCCTTTCCGGGAAAGGCAGCCTCTCTGCTTGGTGGGCAACTGGGCTGCGGCTTCTAGTTGTTTCTGGGACTTCATTGTCCTACAAAACAAAGAGAAGTGTTTACAGACCAGCAAGATTTGGTTCTTGCTAGCTTCACGACAGAAGTGGCTACATTCTTCCATTTCTGCAAATGCAGTACCATCTCTGAGCTCCTTTTTTTTGCATGAAAACAAAGCCATGTACTTAAGAACAGCAGTATATAGCAGAGGTGAGAGCTTACCTCACTGTCTCCTTCCATCCCACTGCTGACACTCAATATGCTCCGAGTGCTGGAGCGGTTACTTGCACTACCTAGAGTGAGTAAGCAAGACAAAACAAACTGATTATTAAATTCTGGTGATTTAACTGCAAATCACTAACTCAGGGCTCTTTTAACCTCATGCTTAACTCTTGCACACATAATTTAATGCTTCTTTAATTTATTTCCACTGTTATTTTTCACACGTTCAGGATCCAAAGAGCAGCACTTCATACAACGCAAACCGCAGGGCCACGCTATTCAATTATGCTTTCTTTCTCCCCTATCTAGATCCAGTCTTCTGTTAAATACTCACAAGCATGGTTTAACTGAAAAGATCTGGTGCCAATAACACCTGGCAAGTCAGGCAAATATTTTCACAGGGGTTGTACACCCAGCATTTATGTATATTTAAATTATCAGTCCCCATATCTTTAACAACTGCACGAAGGTAGACAGCTCTGAGCACTGTCACATATTTATTACTGGAATAAGTGACTGCTTGAGAGGTTATTGTTCCAAATAGATGCTTAGCACCTCCTCCCACAATAACCCTCACTCATTGCAAGAATGTTTCCTAGTCTGTTTCCAAGCTAAAATGACAAGTTTGTTCATACAACCTTTAGCAACCATCTATATGAACCCATTTAACTGTCATGGACTCAGAGGACGGATTGTTTTTGCAATCAGTCATGCCATCTCCAAAGGTGACAGCAACTCACTAACATATCCTACACTGTTATGGCTGGTTTCAGCCATAAACAGATAATGTTCTATAGGGCTGTGAAATACTGGGACACTAATATTCAGAAACCTCTACACTGAAATGGTAGCTAGAGGTTTTCTCCTAAGATGCAGCCCCCTCCCTACTAGCTTTCGTAACATAACTCTCTTTGTCAGCTGGTACAAACAGCAGCACTTAAGAGTGCTAAATACTGTGGTATGGTCCATTCTCACAGTCACACCATGAGAAAGAGCACCAGGCTGCACACAGAGAACTCTGCAGACTCTTAACATTTCTCTCACAACTGCTTGTATGCAAGTTACTGGTTCAGTCAGCTTCCTCTGGCACCTATTCTCGATGTGTGCCAGCTATATCTTGCCAAGTCAAAGGCAGTAATCTCACTGGGACTCAGTTTTCCTTTCAGAGGACCAAAATGATCCTAATGCTTTCTGCAAGAATTGCTCAGTCTGCAATAAGAGCAAGAATGCAGGGATTTAATTTGCACAAATTAAACCTAATGAAAACCAAAGATAATAAAAATGTGCTGACTGTCCAAGTCACTCAAGAGGTCCCACAGTTACCAATGAAAAATGCTGTCCTTTTTCTACAACAATCGAGGAAATGACATGTAGAGACTGGTTCCCAGCCTGAAATATGAATATGCCCTTCAGGCCAGAAGAGCACACAGCCTGCTGGCAGTCACAGCACGGGAGCATCCTTTTCAATGAGAGAGCAGCTGCCATCTACTTTTCAGAACTGCAGACAGGTGGTATGCCTTCCCCAAGAAGACTCAAGGGAATCTTTTGCTCAGCTTTCAGGTTCTCCTCCTGCAGAGATGCACACACAAGATGCCCAGACCACTTGATGTACACCTGGAGTTGCTTTTACAGTTTTGAGAACAGCCAGCCTGAGGCATGCAGGGTTTGGGGTGGCAGTGCCAGTGCTGGGATTCAGGAACAGAAGTCCTGTCCCCTGAGTTGACTCGAGGGTCAGGCTGGGGAAGTGTTTTCCATCCAGCTTTCCTGTAGAGAGGGTAACACTCAGGGCTTGCTTACTTGTTGTGCTGGATGTGCTTTCTGTTTTCCAGTCTCCTCGCTTTAACTCCTTTTTTGGTGGAAAAATGTTTTTCCTGGGGGTGTATTCATATATTCCACATTCTGGTCTCCCCGAAGTATTATGAGAACGTCGAATGGGTACTGTAATTTCTAAATCTGGAAGTGAAAATGAACAGCTCAGAAAGATCTATGCAAGGATCTATAGCCTCTGAGAGACAGTTTTGCACTTAAGAACAAAGTTAAACACAATCACATAAGGGCAATCATAACTATACATGAATGAATCAAGATGCACTCCGCAGATGTGGGCATATTTTCCTTGTCTGTGAAACTGAGGAGTAAAGAAACTTCCCTATGCTTTTGCCAACTGGCACATGGATGTGCATGTTAAAATATCACAGAAATACAATATACACAGACATATTTCTGCCTGAAGAGCCTATTAATATGGTTAGGTGCTTCATTACCAGACAATGTGTGAATCAGAGACTGTTACCTGCACTTTTGTCTTTTTTTTGCTTCTCCATTTGCCTCCTGGTTATGCTGTCTCGTAGACGTTTCAGATTTTCCTAGAAACATCACAAGGTATGTTTTTCAGGGCTTTGGCTAAAGGAGGATGAGCAGCTTTCTGACAAAACTAATATTATATTTCATCTAACTTTGCAGCCAAGCTGTAACAAAGCCTGCTAGACCTGGCTGAAGTCCAAACCATGTCAACAGGTTTTAATCTATTCCCTTCAGAAACCCATGTGTGCCTTTCAGAAGCCAAGATTTTTTAGATGATCATTGTATATGTTAAGGTCAAGTTCACACACTCAGCTGCAGATAAGCAGCACACTGGGTGTAGAACTCCCTCTATTTTCTGTTTTCACTGTGACATTGGCACAGAAACAAGACCCACAATCAACTAAACTAACTGCAAAGTCCTTTCTGTACTAATAAACAGGTAATTCTGACTGCAGGGACAGAAAAGGCTGCCACACATCCCAGAGCGTGAGGGACAACTCAAAGAATTCAGGACATCCCCACTGAAGCAAGAGGGGACACCTGGAAATGTAACTGGGAGCAAAGTCTCTTCACCATTGTGTGGCAGCATACTGCACCTTACAGTATGAAAAGGTGGGTAGAAAAAAGACAACTTTTTTCAGTAGGGAAATATGTACATATCTGAAAGGAAATATGGTGGAATCAGTGGAAAAGCAAGTGAAGCAATTGCTGTACCATGAAGCAAGATTTGAAGCAGAGACTTTGAAAGCTGCTCATGGGATGGGGCACAGAGCATACCACTTCATCTCTTCTACAGACAACTACTAAAGTAGCACTGTGTTCTTCACTGACAGGAGAAGGGATTCCTCTGACTGTTTCTGGGTAGAGAAGACCCTTCCAAGTGAGAATGAGGAGGAGAAAAGCCTTGACTTTGTTCTGACAGCTTCCAAAACAATGTCACACACTGGAGGCCGGCACCTCAAGTGTAAGAGCAGACTGCCACAGCACGAACAAAAGGCTCCAAAAGAAGCAAGCAGTGGGTTTAAAGAGGGAGCCTCTGACTTGAGAATGAAAATTTTAAACTGTGACTGCTAGTTACATCAGTCATTATGTTGCTGCTGCCAACAAAATGACTCCCTCATTCAGTTAAGCCACCCAAACACCCTGCTTTTACTAATGACTGTTGCTAGACCTTGCCCAGCTGCAAAGAACAGTCCTGGAGCCATCAACAAACACCCAGGGAGGGATCAGACCATCTACCAGCTAGGACTTCTCAGCCAACACACCATCTGGGACACAGTCTTCACTGATCTGAAATGGATGAGAACTGACAAGCTACATGTTCATCCCAGAAGTCCCCTGCCAGCAGGTAGCTGCTAGGTGACCTCTGGAAAGGTAATTTAGCCAACTGGATTTGGTCCAATTCGTAGTGCACAGATCTCCAAAAACTAACAGTACTACTGCAAGACAATCAGATCTGCATAACAGCTACCTGCTTGCTGCTGCCTGGGAACAGCCCCTCCATGTCAGGAGAGAACTCTGCTAGTTAGCAGAGTTAGCAGACAGCAGCCTTCCTGCTCCAACTGGGAAAGAAATGTACCTGCACTGAAACAGCTTGTGATATAACCTAGAGAGACAGATGTATTTCTTAAACAGTAGAGTAAGTCTGTACCTGTTGGAACCGGAATGATTCCGATCTCTTTTTCTGATTCAGTTGCCACTCCTTAAAATGAAGTACAGCTTCATCCACAGTGAGTATGCCCATTTTCACTTGCTCCTGTAATGTAATCAGCTGCCGTTGGCCTGGGGTTTTCATTCCAGCAAATGGATCATATATGCTTGATTGAGACAGGTCCCTTACAGGCCTGACTATTGTCTCTGAAGAGAGAACACCATCAAAAGTATTATTGAACTTGTGGCATCTGCCTTCCTCACTGAATAGAAAGAGCTCAAGCACCCTTGATATAGCAGAGATTAAAAAAAAAATTATCAATATTACAGACTGAATGTTTTCTAAGAAGTGTTTTGTTCTTAGGCCATCCTGCTACTCGTTAAGGCTAAAAGCCCAGCTGAGAGGTAGCCTTGTACACAGATATTTCCCAGAGATAATCTCTGTTCTTAAAAACATAATTTAAGTGAACATCACAAAATGTATTCCTTGAAGTGCTCAGCTTTCTCAGCAATCCACAAAACAGAGCTTTCACCTTGGCAGTCACAAACCTAGACTCTTCCTAGGTAATTTGTACAGCATAAGTCCAGAAATTGAAAACTCATTCTACTGATGCTGGCATTTTGTAACTCATTTGTAACATAAAGAGGAGTTCCCAACACATGAGATAAAAGCTTAGATGTGGTACCTGGCACTCTGATAGTGCACAGGATAAGAAGTGAAAGTATGAGGACAGAGTTTTGGAGATGCAGAGAGCAATGGCAATCAGTTCACTAAAAGTGAAATCATGGGAAATAATGATTAACAAGGAGTGGCTATATACAGAACATTAAAAGTGGGACATCATTTGCATGAAGTAATATGGTTCACACCATAAAAAAGGACTTCAATGACCATTATGATCCTGACTGAGGATAAACTCCAAGACAGGGGATACATGTAGAGTAATGATAAAAGGATATAGTTATAAAAGTTTCCAATGTCACGATGTCAAAAAGGTTGGGTCATTCATAAAGGACTATTATCCCCAGAGCTTTGTAAAATAGTCTATTCTGTCATATTTCACACAAATGAAGCTATCTCAGCAGATCTGCTTTTGGATTACTGGAAGGATTTTCAGAGTGAACTTCTGACTTACCTTTCTTAATCCTTCCTCTAGGGACATAAAGATTCTCAGGTCTTTGAGCTTTCTGTGCAAAAACTGCAAAACAAACATTCTTTAGATACTGAAATACATCTCATGAAGAGAGAAATAGCAAGGATGAATATGGGAAGCACACACAATTTTGCAGTGCATTACAGCTTCCGTTCCCCTACTAAGTCCATTGAAGAAAACAAAGATCTGTACAGAAGAATTCCCTTTCTATCGACCTCAAAGACTTTAGCCCAGTCACCTCTAAAAGAAATCTGGACATGCTCTCCCCACAGTCCTGTCATGGGAGGAGGGAGAAGTCACTGAAATTACTCTCTCACATGGTACTGTGGTTCTTGTGAGAATGTTTGTGAAATAAGACCAAGATTTCCAAAACTGCCTAGCAAACTAAGAGGCACAATCTTCTGCAATTTCAATTAAACCCCATCTCAGAGGGAGATCATGTCCTATATAAATGTGATTGAATCAATGATACTATTACAGAGCAGCAATGTCTCAATTTATTAGCTTGATTGCGTCCTTATAATATCAGGATCTTTCCTATTTAGTTGGATTTGTTTATACCATTTGGGGGTAATCTGTCATCCTACTTCTTTCATTAAGAGCAAGCTCAGGCCACGATCTTGAGATACAATATCTCCATATTTTCAGAGTAGACAGAAGATGAAAAACATATGAAATTGGATCCCAAAGGTGGTCCAACTCCAGAGTCAAATAATACAGGGATATCAAAAAGCTTAGGCTTTCTTAGCATTTATTTGGCAACTGAAGCCCATGTCAATGCCATACTGCAGTTGACTAGTCTACAATTCCACTGGTACCCAACTCACTTTTGGAGATGTACAGCTCATTGTCTGGCTGTGGAGAACTAGACTCTGGTCTTGGAACAGGAACTGGAGGTCTGTTAGCCATTTCCTGTGGAAAAGTATCTTGTTCCACTGGGTAGTATACATCTTCACCACATGGCTCGTAAACTCCTTCCTCTGAATCTGGCACATCCATGCTACCGCCTACAACAGAGTACAGTTTGTAAGAATAACAACCTGGTCACTTCACTGAACACTGGATCCCTCCAGATGCATTATGTACCACATTCTTACCAAGCTGGCCATGTCACAGGCAAAAGCATCCAGTTCTGCAGTGACTTTAGTGTGCCAAAGCCCTTCAGGACAGGACTTGACTTGATAAAGTCATGAACATCTAGTAGCATGTAACTGTTTGCCACTAAACCTGTACCACCTGTTTTGGTGAAGAAATAGTGAAAAACCTCCTAACTCTTTTTAAGAACTTGAAGAACAATTAGTTTAATTAATTCCAGTTAATTGACATACTATAATAGTTAACAAATCAAACAGAGCACTGGTTTCCAAAAGCTATTTATGATAGTCTACAAAGTACTAAAGAGAATTGTTCCTTTGTCTGAAGCAAGCAAACAGTGGGGACTATCTCCTATCCTTAAGAGATGAACAAGAAATCTCAAATTCTATTTAATTGCTGTAACTGTGCTGCTGCCATCCCTCCCTCCAAACAGGTCTTACCTTCTAAAAACCTGCGGAGCATGGAGTCTTTTGTAGTTAAAGAAACTTCATCTCCAGCAACTGGAGTGTCTGGTTTGGACTGAAGCATCTCTACATCTGAAAAAAAAAATCAGAATTATGAACCTGTTAATTATATCCTTAAATGTGTGGAACAATGTAATATAATATAATATAATAAACTGATGTGGTATTTCTGACTGGACCTTTGGTTTGTGGTGACAATCAAAGAAGAAACTGGGCAACTGACCAGACATTTTCCTCAAAAAAGGCTTCTGAGTTGCCATGTTCAGTCCACTCTGCACAAATCTTTTCCAGCTGCCTGATGCTTACACTTGAGGGTGACTAACACTGCTTGAGAAGTTCTGACAAGGCTTCAAGCAGGCACCAAGTATTGGTTACTATTGAGAGTATGTCGGGCAGATTAAAGTTTTGGCCTCTGCACAGGGCTCCCGAGAGGAAGCCTGCAATTTTGCAAGGCAAGACATTAAAGGCAATTTTCCCATGACCCAGAAAATAGTGTTTGTTTCATTTATTAGCTAAAAGTCAAAACAGTTGGCTGAGTTAATTAGTTAGACTGGAAGGTGTTTAGGGGGTCAGATGATAATCCAGTATCGAGGAAGGAGTGACAGCAAACAGTAATTCAGTGTTTCACATGAAGAATTCCAATTTTTTTAAAAAAAGGGTCAACCTCACTGTAACCCTAAAACTAATCCTAAAACTAAAATTAAATGTTAGGCAACCATGCTGCTAATGATATTAAAAACAAGACTGATTACTAAGTGAATTGTTGAGGCATATCTATTACTGTGCCATAATTCTATTGCTATATAAACTAGATGGTTTGGGTTACATGCGAGAATATGAAATATTTTTATAAATGTATTTTTATATTTTCTAATATTTCTTATTACTTTCCTGCAAAGCTGCGATTATGAAAAAGCAATAAGAATATGTCAGCAAGATTTTGTGTTTGTTTTTTTTCTTTTTTTTTTTTTAAATCACCAATTGTCAAAGGACTCACTAACAGTCATATGAATGCACTCAACCTAGATTTAACTGCACAGGAATACCTCCAGCATAGCTACGGCACTACTGCATGCTGTGTGGACTAACCACACCAGCAGCTTCTTAAGAGCTCTGCTGTCTGTGCCTCGTTGCATGCTGCTGGAGCTAATCTCCTCACCATCAACTAAATACAAAGTTCATGTAAGTGTCACTGCATTACATGAAAGCACAGATTTGACATTTGAGCATGCTAAAGAATCAGCACTATAGACCTGAAGTTTTCTGTAGAGCGATTTTTCCACCTTACAGCCACCTTGATTATTTTTAACATAGCTTTTAGAAATGAACCTGTAGCAAACACCGACCCAGAGGAAAGCCACTTCTTTATGGGTTTGCGGGCAGAACAGGACAGGTGTGCAAAGTTCCTTTCATTCTCTGTGTAGGAAACAGTATCTTCCCAGTTATGGCTGTGCTCCACAGGATTACTAAACCATCAGTGCAGAGTATTGCAGGTTTTGCTTTCTATCACATAGTAGAGTTAAATTAATCAGCTAACTAGTTCTCCTCAGAAGACAAGATTGCCACCTCGCTACCTTCTTGAACACAGGCCTGTTGCATACAGAGGAGACCTAACACCTCATCCATATACCATAACTGAAAAGAAGTTCTCCAATTTGTAAGTGACACCACCTTCTCCACTTGCTGCGAAAACAGGCCAGTGAGACAGAAGTGACAAGAAGGTGGCACACACAAACGGGTATTACAGGAAAGGTCACCAGATTTTCCTGAGGCTACTAGGGAAAGTTGGTCTGAAGGATTAGCAGGAAGAGGGTTAAGCAGTTCCTAGAAATCAGAATTTAGTAGCTAAAAGATATTTATTCAGAGTTTCAGTTTCCCTTTGCAGGTTTAAAGCTTCAGAAGGGAGCTCAACCAACCTGCAAACAGACATACAGAAGATGAATTATGACCTATAGACCCTTCACAACAGCTAAAATATCCATGTGTGGGAACCCTTTAGAAAGTAGGATCACCCTTCCCCCCGTAAACATTTGTAAACACTAGATGCCAGGTATTCCTGCACACAAAGCAAGCTACCTCTTTACAGAGACCAGTCCTTCATTATGCAAGACAAAAGATTCAATGCGTTGGCATAAATCACAACTCAGAACTTTATAAGCAGTTATATTTTTGTGCACAGTTATCTCAGCTTGCTTAAGGATGACAAGGTTACTGTTTCTTGCATTAACTAAGGCAAAAATAAAAATCAATGAGAACAGTGCTGAAAGTTTGGTCTCAAGAGAATAACATGGTGGAGGAGGGAGGGAGTATGCAAGAAAGTAGAATAAGGGCATCACAACTTATTCACATATGAACTAACATCTATTCTTTAGGTGTTAGAGGTCTGCAAATTACAGGACAATGGACTTTAGTCAGCTGAAACTCTCTAGGTTAAAGGATTAAATCTCTGCATGAAACTCACACTATACAGAGTCTGAGTGTCCACACAGTTCATTAATATAGAAACACTGTTATGAGTCCAGATGTTTCAACCAGCTCTCAGCTACTGTCAGTGTCAGACCTTGGACAGTGGGAATTCAGCCTAACTCTCTCCCTAAGTAAAACAGCATAACACCACACACAAACCAGACTGTTTAATCTTCACACAAATCAAACAGGTTTTCAGCACTTTGAAGAGGCCTTGCTCTCAGAGTTCCTCCTGTGCTCAACTGCAGCCTACTCAAAATACTGTTTTGCAAAAATCAGCAGGAGGTGCTGGTGAAAGGAAAGCAGAACAAGGAAAGCACTTTATCTGATGCTGTAGTTCCTAGTACCAGTCCGATATGGTGGAGGCAACCCTCCCCTTTTGCTGTTCAGCTACTGTGTGACTCAGCTAAATGACATTTACCTGCAACCTGCACAAACCTGAAGCAAATTCTGGAAAATTATATTTAACTGTACAGGTATTTTAAAAGTGTAGTAAGAGTGAAGCATGAGGGAAGTGCTCTTCTGAGGAAGGAACAATCAGATTAATGATAAAAAATTATAGAAGGCAATTCAAATTCATTAATAAAGAATGGCAATTTAGGTATAGCAAGAGCTAGTAAGGTCCTACTGATGTGCTTAGGAATACTTTATGACCTACACTGCTCAGGGCATTATATCAGGGCATTAAGACCTACCTGGGAAAGAATGCTCCCCTTCAGAGGAGGGGAGGCAGTGTTCTGTAGATGAACAAAACCTTTTCCATTTTTTTAAGTTCTGTCAATTATTCCAAACCTTAAAGGCACAACTAGCAATGCAACACAGGTGTGTGCAACTTAAGCAGTGTCAGTTCAAGCAAAACTGGGCCCTTGCACAGCTTCTGCACTCTCTCTGAAAATGTTTTCCCAAGACCAAATGCAGAGAGAAAAAAAATATAAAATTGCATTGAAAAATCAGAAGTGTGAAGAAAAATACAACAAAACACTCTGGTATCCAAGTATTTGCTACTACTTTTAACTCATTACAATGGCTCCAGTCCTGTGTTACCTTATTCTCAAACCAGTTCCTGCCAGACAAATTGACCCTCGGGTATCTGCCCTTCCTTTGATCAGTCTCTGAAAAGCTGAGGTGGAAGCCTGCCTTGACCACAATAAATAGGCACACTGCCACAGTATGGCTACACTTAAAATAAACCAGGTATTGTCCTCTATGCCACAGTCATATCTATTCACATAAGAGTAATTATTAGAGAAAGTACCTCAGTAGAAGTTAATTATGATTTCCTAGTGAGCTTTTCATCCTCACAAACCTTTAAGTCAGTACAAAAGCTTGAATCCTTCATTTGTGATGGCAGTTCTAAACCAGCCAGCACTCCCATTAATTTCAGTGGGGCTTTGCCTGTGTATTGTTTGTGTTCTAAATAGTAATGAAACACTTTTAACTTTGAGAGAAACAATCTAAGTGTCAAGAACTGTGCCAATTTAAACTTACCTGTTACAATACAGGTAGTTTTTAAGCACTTTTCAGGCAAGCTGTAAATATGCTTCAGGCAAAGACTAACAGACTACATAAGAAAAACAGAGAATTTCAATAAAAGACTCCTGAGTAGAAGGCAGCAGAGCTTTGTGTGCAGAGGCAACATACTAGAACTCCAGAAAAAGCGGGAGAGGCTTTTCAGAGTCCAGTTCCAAAGTGATAAATTACAGGGAGCTTGATTTGCATACATGAAAGAAAGGAATATCCCCTGCATAGTTTCTGGGAGATATGGGCATTTCAGGGCTTGAAGAAGACAAGTTGGGCTTAGTAGTTTTAAGCATGCTTTTTCCCCCTGCACAGGCTTCCTCAATCAACTCCATTCAGCTGTGTACTGATTGCAGGCAGAGCTTGCAAACATCTAGAAACTCACCCCCATTACTGCAAACAACAGCAGCTTTGTTTCTTACAAGTCCAACCCGACTTACTGCTTATCTCCACCTGAAGGCAGAATAGCAGAATAATCCTGGTTTTGGCAGCAAAATTATCCCTGCAGCGACCAAACAAAACTTTGCAGAGAAGAATCTATGATTTCAGGCAAAGAACTGACAGAGTCTTCTGGACTCAATAATCAAGGAAAATGTGTTTTATAGTATCATGTAATCTAAAAGAGGAGAAAAACAGCCCAGGACCAATACAGCCTATAAGCAAAAGTGCTTCAGAAAGAAAACTTTTCCCTGGAGGGAGCACACTTAAAACCTGCAGAAACACTAGAAGTCCTTATGGAGGTACTTAAATTATAAGAGGTTAGATTCTTTGCTCATCATGGGAATCATAAAATATATCAGTGGGATGAAGCCAGACCAAATAAGCAGGTAAGTAAGAACAGCAAATTTACAATTGCTTAACATAGGTATTTAACTTGATATTTGCAATTGGCCTCACTGAATATTAATGGAATGGTGAAAAAGTTAAACAACTGCATATTTATCAGAATTAGCTCTATATTTTTAGCAATAAATGACTGTATTAGAATAATGATTTTTCAATTATAATCTTTCCAGTAGATGTATTTCTATATGCTCCCTTTGCTTTCAAGCTGTTGTGCTAAAGCTCAGCTCTTGTTTTTTCAGTTTCCCAGTTGTCAGTAAAATCACACCTTTTTTGTTGGTGTCTGTAACTTAGAGTGCCCTTAGGCCACCGGTTCTCAGGAGGGAGAATCAGAACATGGTAGAAAATTTAGTCTTTTCTATATGCTACATTACTTGCTCAAGGTTCAGGGAGTCCTCAAAACACTGAGGAAACAGCTCTTGATCTTGTACACTAGCAATCAAAAAAAAGTATAGAGCAATTTTATCAGCTGCCAATATTAGAGATGGAGCGTAGTTTCCTTGTGGTGAGAGCAGAAAAGCTGTAACTGCAGTGCTACTGTGTCTGAGAGACAGGTGCTCTGAGCAACCTGATCTGTTTGAAGATGTGTCTGCTCATTGCAGGGAGGTTGGATGAGGTGAGCTTTAGAGGTACCTTCTAACCCAAACCATCCTATGATTCTGTGATTCTATGAATATACATACAGAGATCTTCTGGAGCACCAGGGACAAATCCAGCCATGGATTCATAAAGCTCTTCATCGGAGCCAGGATTCAAGGAACACTTCATTAACAGATCTGTGGACAGATGAGCCATGGACTCATAAATAGACTCATCCTCCTCGCCTTGCATCAGCTCTTCCTTAATGTGACTCTTCAGCATATCTGCAGTTTCCTGGAGAGGAAGGAGGGCAAGAAAAAAAGAGTTCAAGTCCCATTTAAATAAAGAATGTGGAGAATCAAAGCAAGCAAATAATACCTCGTTCTCCCATCACTTATGGAAAAAAACACCTAAAGGTAGCGCATTCCCAAAGATTAAGGCCTTCAAGATCTATGTTGTAGTAATAGGTAAGGAAGGTGAAACAAGTTGGTCCTAACACATTCTGAAGAGCCATTACAGTCTCTCACCCCTTCAATTTCATGTCCAACCCAATATCTGCAAACTCCCAGATAGGCATAGCTCATTCTAAAAATACAAATGCTTGTCAAAGGCTATTTTGGGGCAAGCGTAGCTAACCATAAGGGGGAAAGCTTGCCACATGCAGAGCACCTGCAAGATAGCGAAGTTTTAGCTTTGATGTAGATTCAGTTTCAGTTTCTTGGCCATTAGCAGCAGCATGTAACACCCAGAGTGGGAGTACACAGACCCTTTTCTGTGATATTAACAGGAAACCTCACAGCAGGCAGCTGTTCACATAATACAGGCAACTTCTAATTCACAGGACAGCAGAACCCTTTTTCACATATTTGCAACACAGAGCAGGGGAAGAATGCAGATCTTCACCAAACCACACCAGGGAGAAAAATGTAAAGTTTCATTCCATCCTACTCCCAAGTTCCAACTATGTCACAAGCACAGTCATCTTAACCAGTCACAATACTACAAGATATTCTTCCATCCACAAATGCCAACTCACGGGCATGTGTGTCAAAACTGTCTACACATGCTTCCCTTCAAAATGAGTCAGGCCAGTAGCTCATAAGATGCTCTACAGAGGTGCAGAGGAACCTTTGCTAGAGTGAAAATAAGGTGAGTAAAGGGGTTTACTGGGATTTTCAGATATCCATACTAGTAGTGATTCTAGTCACTACCTTGCAGTTGTCACACTGGTGCAGATGGTTTGTGTGCTCTGGTACTATGCCGCACAGCTTGACCGTCAATAAGCAGGAACTACTCTTAACACAGCTGTCTCTGTGCTGGTGGAGAGAATATGGGAGGAGCACACTAATGCAATAAGAGGTTGGAAGGACTTCCTGCACATCTCTCACTTACCCCAACGCAAAGATTTTGATCAAACAATTTACGGTTTCTGCAGCTCTTCTGATCTCAGAACACACAATAACTTTTATTTAGCTCTAATGTATAATCCTAAATTCGTGCTTATATCAAGAAGCAAGCCCCAAATCCAAGAACCACCCATACCTCCTAAATAGGGTTTAAACACTACTGTAATTGGCTGGCAGAACCACATTAAGGCTAACAGATCTATCACCCTCCATTCTGACAATTTTTAAGGACAATTACACACAACTTTTCAACTGAAAGCAAAAGCAAATAGAATTCATGTGATGTGAGCCAAGGAGCTTCTTGTTATTTTGAAACATACAGGCCTGAAACAGTTCAAATTGAAAAGAAAGGATAAACTCCACGCATACCCAAGGTACCCCACAGAAACAATTGCTTGGTGCAGCTGGAGTCAGGTCCATGTCCTAATCTGGACAAGTCAGAGTGCTGCTTCCTGGGGGTGGGGTTAGCTCAAAGAGAACTGAATTGTGAATTGGAAGGAAGAAATGCAGGAAAAAATGGATATCAAGTGGAGCAGGTAGACTACACAGATCAGCTGTGAATGAGCTAATAAGCTCATCTTACTGTACCTCAATCTGACTGTATCTCAGATACACCCTAAATTGTATCTTCCCAAACATATTCTGTTTCCATATTACTCCCTGAAGTAAGCAGGATGAAGGGGCTGTAGTTTTCCAAAGATGAGAAGTTAGAAGAGTACACCAGGCCCCAACCACATCCCCACAGAAACTTCATTAGATGGATGGATGATAAGGAAAGCCAGCAAGGCAATCTCTTCTTTCATCTTACTTGGTCTGTGTAAAAGCCCCAGGAATTTCCCTAGCTCCAGAGATGCACCTAATCCTCTTACCTGGAAGCTTTCAGTGTGGCTGGATGACTGTGTTCTACACCCTAACACACTACACTGCACAATTTATCACCCCATCACTCCCGCTCACGCAACACTTAAGTGCCAAGCTTGGTGCCACTGCCCACACTCTCTGTGGGACAAGGCAGAAAGATTGCTGCTTCCTCTTACCACATATTCATCAATGAACTGGCGGAGATCCTTGAAGCCATGCTTTTCTGCTATGGTGTTTGGATAGTGGCCATACTTGTTGGCTACACTGTAGGCCTGCAGCGCTCCAGGGCATGTAAGCAGCAAGGCAGTGAGGTTCTTCAGCCCATATCTTGCAGAGAAGTGAAGCAGTGTTGGCAACTCCTCATCCCTCTGATCTATGAGAACAGGAGCCCGTTAGAACCTAAGTTTTTCTCTAGTAGCAACAGAGATATAGGCAAGAAACAAAGGAGAAAATATGGGAGACATTTGGGGACCATCATCTTTTCACTCTGGTTGTGTTTGAAGCTGTCTACCCAGCTGCATCTGTTGCAGTTTAGGAAGTGAGACTGATGAATGTAATTAAAAAAGGGTCAGCTGACTCAAAGGGCAATCCCCTTTCTATAGAAACTAATAAAGAAATCACGAGAAATTTAGCTTCTTGGCTGACATTCAAGATTTTTGAGACAGTCTATGCAGGTACCACATTCCACAGTGTTAAGGCACTTCAAGGTAAAACAATGGATACAAACAAAGTTTAAAAATAAACCAAGAATCTTTCAACTTACTTGCTGTCATATCTTCTTCTTCCAGCTGGTTGATTCCAAACAGGTGTAAACCACTGGCAGGAATGTTCTTCTTGAGTGACTCAGTCAACAGTTTGTCCAGTGCTTCTATGCTGTATGGCACGATTTTAAAGGCCTAGAGATAAATGGAAAGTGCTTTTGTTTGGAGGAGTCTGGAGATTCAGTTAAAGTGAGATTTCTATGGTGTTTTTATTATTAAGCACAATCAGAAAATAGTAGGTATAAACATGGAAGGTAGAAATGTTCAGGTTAAGCGAAGAACATGAATAGCTTCCTGGTCCAGAAACAGCATATCATTAAATTGAACAGAAGAGAATCATACACTCCACAACAAGACAGAGCACAATGAGAAAGTCACTCATGCAACTGCAAGCACAGAAAACTGTAGCCTCCTACTTCCTTGACAGGTATAATCTTATTTCTGAAACTGTTCCAATGAAGTGTCCCTCCTGCTTTAAGTATGCACTAGCCCATGTTTAATTACTCTGGTGTAAGCTCTGGGTTTGGCTTTTGAGCTGGTTCTTAGCCACTGCGAAACAAACCTATTCCCCAAGCAGAGGCATCAACTTCTCCATAACTTGAACTAAAAAGTAAAGAAAATGCAGTCTCCCCTGCCCCAGGTATCCTGGTGACTAACAGCACTACTCTGTAGGCTTCTGCTATGTGGTCAACCAGGGACATGCAGGCAGGCAGCCAGGCAACACATCTGAGATCTTGCCTTGTGCAAGCTTTACCCCTCTGATAGGCTTCAGGTACCCCAACTGGGCAAAATACAATGTGAAAACTGAGAAGTGGCTTTGTTAAAGAAGTGCTAAGAGGAAATGAATAATTCTATGTTACTCTGCTTCCTTCAGATAATACAAACCTTTGTTTCTATTCACATCTTAGGTACAAATTCCCAAACGGTTTATTTCCTTATGGTACTTGCTGTTATACCAAGTTCTGTAATTCCAAGCTTTTCAAGTCATCGAGATCTAAATGTGAGTGTTGACTGACTGCATTTTTTTTTGTTAGTTGGATAACCTGACTCAGCCAGCTATGTGCTTCAGAGACAGAAAAAGCACCCATGCTTTCACTAGAAGGGGGTGTTAAGGTTACGTGATAATCCCTAAATAACTTTGCATTTCTTCATTTCAGAAGAGCTACTTCATGGCAAGCATTTTTGCTTATGCCCACTTGTCTTAGCCTCTGAAAGAGCTGGTTTCCAAAACATAGTTTCTATGTTTGCTAAAGTCATTACCTGGCACATGAACTGTACGGGGTTGGCTGCATTAGCCAAAAGTCTGCTGATTTCCTCCGTGTCCGTGTGGTAAGTGACACTGGTTTCTCCCACCATCAAGTCCCCTGAATATATCTGCAGAGGCACTGTCCCAGAGGTTAAATCTTTGAAAAGAAAGAGCAGAAATCACCATTAGAACTCACTGGCCATGAGTTTGCATAAAATACTGTGAGGACAGGAGTTTGGATATACTGCCAGATGGATACCAAAACAGTTTCTGCTGTACTGAATTCATGAAGAGTCATAAAAAGAGTCATGATCTTGGTCTGAACACTAGGTAGGAAAGTACTTCTTAACTACTTTCTTAATATCTATGTCAATGCACATAGCCTGTGATCTGCTAAGTCGTCTGCTAACAGTAGACTGGACCATTGGTGTGAGCAGTACTTCAGCTCAAATTAGAAAGCCTCACATCTCTCCATCCCGGGCTTTCTCTGGAGATCTCTTTAAAGCCATGCCATAAAATACAAGAGAAGGGAGAGAAATCTGAAAAGTCACTGAGAATTCTGCAACATCTGTCAGCCTCACTAGTGTCTGAAAAAGATCAAATTAAAAGAATTTCAGCTTTGCAACTTTATCCATGCATAGGATTTTCTTCTACCTGCACTTTGAGAGCTTCTTGATGTTTTGTCTAGTGTGTATTCATAAGTCTGGACTTTCTCTTTGAAACACAGATATTTTGAATCCCACTGAAATTAATCTTTCCCTGTTAGCAACTCAGGAAATGATGAAATGGTTACAGTCATAAAAGAAAGGAATTAAAAATTATTTTTCTTACTGTTAGAAACTGCAGAGCTTCACTTATACACTCCATCATGTTTATAATCCAAATACAAGCTGGTTTCGAGGTCTGTGTTTATATTATAAGTCTTGATTTAAGACAGATTAAATTGAATATGTGGGTGAGGTCACCTTCTTTAAATCAACCCACCTCACTGACTTTATGGGAGTTGCTATAATGACTCTTAGTCTCTATTCTCAGAGCTAGAACAGTGACTCTTCAAGAGGACAGACCAAAGTAGATTAAATAAAATAATGCTGGGAAACTACTATCAATCTTTAAGGTTCTGAAATCGTGCCCGTAAAGTTTAGTGAACCTAAAGTTTAGACAACCTTCAGTTTTCTAAATGTAAATATCTAGAGTGACAGAACATGCATAAATTAAAAGGCAAGCCAGAATAGTTTCAGTTTTGATCACAGAGATCATTACACATTAAGCTGTCATAGACATGCAATTATTTAACTAGCACATTGGTACCCTGCCAATGCTAATGTGGTGGTGGTCATCACATCCAGTTAAGTTCAAAGTGCTTTACAAGCTTCAAGGTGTTTCCATACTGCAACCTACTGCTGCTGGGGGGGAAAACAGAGCCCCCAGGCAACAGTATCTCTTAGCTCCTAATCACAAAAGTATCACAAAAGATGAGAATGCAAGTTCAAGATTTTCTGGCCTCCATTTTTTCTGCATTGCAACCTTTACCCCTCTGACACTTCTCAGGACAGGCAGGTTGAGATAGAAAGGAAGCAATGGGGGAAGGAGGTGGGGAAAATCTCAGTCCAGCTTACTTGGAGCCTTCAGAGAGATTGTGTACTCATTCTCCATCTCAGCCAGCACACGCACAGAAGATGCATTCTCTGGAGAGAATTCAACTTCAGTTTTCATTTCACCATCTAGTTTACATTTCATGATAATATAAACTGTTGTCTGCACCTAAGAGAAAAGGCATTACAACACACAGGTTCAATAACATAAAAATACTTACTTTTTAAAGTCCATTTTCTTGGAATTTTGTTGTCATTGCAACTAACACATGAATTACCATCTGTCACTTTCACAGTCCTGAATGGTTTTCAGGAGCATCTTCCAGTCATGGACTAACTGGGCAGGTGGCTTCTGTTACACGTTGCACCAGCATAGATATATGCATTAAACTGATAAAACTCTAGATTTATCAGATAGATTTATAAACTGATTAAAGCTAGATTTATAAAATTATTTAGTTTCAGCTCTATCAGTCTCTTCACTCAAGCAGCACAGCTACATTTTAAACAGAAACAAAAGAAGAAACTTAGACTCTTTCCATCTGGGGAGATGCTATATTAAGAAGTGCTGTTTTTCAGACAAGAAGCTCTGATCCAAGCTCTTCAGAATCACTTATGAGGCACACACCAGAATTGTCATATTAGACTGCATCCAAGCTGTGGAGTTAATTTGTTCATTACAATCACCTTACTCCATTTGCCACCAGAACAGAGGACGGGAAGAGTGTGAACCTGCCTTGCAGCACACAAGCCAAGCATCTGTGTTAATGAGACTGTCAACCAGTGACATTGCAGCCTCGACTGCACTGAGCACTGCATGTTACCAAGTTATTCCCAGGCCTAGGGAACCAAGCTCATGAAACAGAGACTTTGAGGACAGGGGGTTGAGAGGGAAGGAGACAGAATTCCCAGGACTAATTCCCAGGCCTGTAAAGCTGACCATTACAGAGCAGCATAATGGGTTGCATCAGCAGACAGTAAGAACATAGCCCAAGGAGCTGACATACAGTACCCCACATTGTATGCGGTCAGGCTGCACCACTGGATGGTCCCCAGTGCTCTTGGATGATCCGTGTTCTTCACTCATGGCAAGTCTGTGGAAATAAGCTGGATTCTTCTCCTCTTCTGTTTCTGTATCAGTCACAGAGTCACAGCCGGAGTCTAAAATAAAGCATAGAGAGTCTTGTTACATCACTCCCCTTTGCTGAAAATGCCTATCACACACATCCATCCTGAGAAACGGCCAGGGAGATAGTAGGGTGGAACTTGCCATTCCTCTCAAAGATAAAAGGGGATCTAGCTGAAGAAAGGGAAACTACAGAGCTTCCTCTTTTTTTCCCTGAAGCGGTTTTCCAGGGAAGATTCACAAAGACATAAAAGTGGTGGAATAGCACTGAATATGCTTATAAAACAAACAACAATACCACTCTTTGCTGAGATGCATAGTCCCCTCTCATGTTAGATAGGAAAATTAGTATGTGAATGTCTAATATAAGAATGATCGGCAACTGGAGTCAACTGACTCCAGCTGCACTCTGATACACTGTAGGATGGCCAGCAGCCTTTGGTCCTCCTTTCCTAAAGTAAATGATGAAAACGAACTTTTCTGTCATTTCAGTAACATCTTTAGTTTTCTCAACCCTGCTTATGCTGCTCACCCAAACTCCCAAGTTCATTATTGCATCAAAAAATACAACATGAGGCAGTAGTATGAAGGGGTTCTGTTCCTTGAGCAACAACTATAAGCTCCAGTATCTATACAAGAGCGAAGCTGAAATGTACCAGAGCCTTTGCATCGAAAGTAACAGCACTTTACCTAAACAGTCTCAAGAGTAGAAGTAAACACGTGTAAGCCTACAATAAGTGTATGCAAAACAACGTTCTCATTCCCATTTCCCAAAACCAGCACGGATATTGATGGAAGTGCAAACAAACTGAATTGATATCACTGACTGGAAAAAAAATAACCCTAGCCAGAACTAAAATAGATTACTTACCCCTGCCAGGAAATACTTTTCTCAACTAGAGAAAGGAAACAAAAGACAACTCTCTATCTACTTAGTAGAGAACACTTTTTTAGCTAGTTTCTACTTCTTGATTCACATGGTTCCCACTAGGTTTTTTCCCCCGTCTCCCAGAACATAGGGTGAAAGTCACTGACTTCACCTTGTCAGAAGGCTGACATGAATTCTTAAAACTATCTCCCATGACCAAAATTTCCCAAACTTTGGAAAACTGTGGGGGGGTCAAGAATTTAAGACAACATTTTGGAAGTTATTTGTTATTTACTACTTAGTATAAAACACATCTGTAAAAAGCAGTACAAATTATTTATTAGATAAAACCTCAGATTTGGACTGACAGAGTTTTTATATTAGTAAGAAATTTTCTATTTAAAATGCTCACTCCTGAGGAGAAAGGCCTAAGTGACCAACCATGCTGTCTAACCTGTGGCATCCATACAGTGAAGTTGTCAAGAGTTCCGATTTTACTCAGAATCCCTCAACCTCCAAGTACATTAAGTTTCCACAAATCAAGAGAGCCAAAGTTAGTAAAAGCAGGCCACCACTAGGAGTTCATGTCCTCCTTGTTTCAAACATTGAAGCTAGAAGTCAGTCAGGAATTTAAATCTAGACTTCTTCATTATTATTATTATTATTATTATTATTATTATTATTATTATTATTATTATTACAAAATACTTAAGATATTTAAAATTCTTTGTCACACACTTTTTAAAAAATATATATTTTCTATACATTGAAATGGAATTTTAGGAATTATAATAAATCAACTTTGCTTTCTGGAGACAAGTTTTAAGACACAAAACTTTAGCAAATCATTCAGTTGAAATTTTTGTCACAAAGAGCAGTGCACACACATTTGAAACTCTCCACATAGCAACTAAGCCTACTCACATGAGTACAAGTAGATTGCTGCCTTAATGTTTGCTGTAGAAAGAATGGAGCCAAAAATTTACAGCTCTACAGTTCAAGTAAGCCATCACCACTAATATTGACATTTCTTAAACAAACCAAAAACAATGCATGTAATTTAGCAAATGGATTTTAATACTGCACCAACACAAGTCTGAAGATTTGACTAAACAACTACTTTGACACAAGGCTAAAGACTGTACTGAATGTGATCTTTCAGATTTTTAAACAGTGGTGCCAAGTATTAGATAAAATGAACTAAGGCTTTATATTCCTTAACTCAATATTTTAATCTATACTGTTCAAAGTCATCAGCTGCAAGAGCCACACACATTTTGGGAACCCTTCTCTGAGAGAAACATGCACTACTCCCACCTGGGATGCCAGGCTGCCCAGCTGCATACAGGAGAAAATACAGCACTGGTCTCACATCCTTCCCTTACATGATAGTTATCACACCAGATATTTGGCATATGCAGAGCAAGATGTCATGTATTTTGGGGAGGAGAAGAGCCAACTATTACTAGTTGGCTCTGTAATTGCTGTTGGTTTCTTCCAATATGACTAAATCAGAAAGACTAAGCTCACAGCAGATGAGAGAGCTAGTGATGACCAAATTACAACAAAACATTAATGTTCCTGCAACATATGCACAAATGGACACTTGCCAGCATCCTGATCCTCAGGATATCATCCCCAATCCAATATGGAACCATTAGTGTGGTAATTTTTACCTCATTTGGCCAATTTTCAGAGAAAAATTAAACCTAAAGCTGTGGATCTCAGCTACAACATCTACAGTAAGTAAGGATAAGACAGGGGGCAAGGAGAGAACAAGCCCCTGGTCTCTCTGCTTTAATGATTTTATTTGATACTAGAAACAAATTAACAGATAAAGAACAACTAGAGCTTCTAGGAAGTTCTGGCATTGCCTGACCCTGTCCTGCACTTCCGCATTCTTGTAACAGAGGTGGCTACCCAGAGGTCATATGTGAGCCCAGAGCTGTTAGGTAATACAGGAAGAAATAAGCAATGTTAATCAGTAATTGGATTAACAGCTGATGGAACAGGCATTCAGAGTTTCGGGTATGAATTACTCATCTGTTTTTTCATTCAGAAAATACCGAAATTGCAAAGTACCAAATTCCCACATAAGCAGTGAAATGATCCTATGATTCATCTTGCAAATTCCAATCATGTACTACTGACTAACCCATGAACCTGAAAGAATTGGAAGAGGAAACCATCCCATTACATTCAATAATATCCATGCTCTAAAGCATTGTTAGATCAGGCTTCCCACTCAATAAGATACTTGAGTAATCGCAATCTATTTGCATATACAGATTCAGCAATTATATTATTATAATGATACCCAGGTTGGAGAGGCCATCACTGAGGAGATCAACAGACTTATTAGAAAGGTAAACGAATACCTGAATTGAGCTTCTCCATGAGCAAGTGCCGTAGGTCAACAGCTTGTGGCTCTGCCTTTCTGTTCCCCTTTAAATGAAGGCTACCTCAGGCCTCACTTGACAGTCTGTGAAATACTTGTGAGAACAAGCAGCAAGCGGAGGAGATGCGGTCCAAGAAACCCAACCACATTTCCCCTTGAAGAACATGCCCCCTCATGCAGCGTCAGTGGCTGAGCTGCAGAGAGCAGCCCCACACCCTTCTCACCTGCCCTGCAGAGCTCCCTGCACAGCTGCCCTGCAGAAAGTCACCCCAGAGAAAAACCCAGGGAAAATGCAGGCATGGACATGTGCTTCAAGAGCCATTTAGCACTTTTAGAAGCTAACATGAAGCAGCCAGTTATTTTGGCCTGCTGCTGTAGAGCCCGCACAGCTCGCTCTGTCATCCATTTCCTCCTGGCTAAGCTGGCAGGCTATCGGCATGGAGCCAGCAGCTGTGGTTTTTCACAAGTCAGCCCTTACACCACGGGACACGTGAACGCTTGGAAGGAGTCAGCAGTCTGTCCAGATCACTCTGTCATCCAGACTGTAATGCAAATGGCACAACTGGGCAACAGTGTGTCTCTAAGTTCTACCTCTGTGGACCAACTCCCGGCTGGCATCTGTGAACACTTCCCATTCTGTCCATTGACCAGGTGAGACAACTAGCTCTCACGAGGCCTGAGACTTCACCCCAGTATGCCCAGAGCAAGACAGAAAGCCCTCAAAGAGAGCTTCTGCTTTTACTTGAAGCTTGCAATTGGCCAGTCTCCTTTTCCAAATGCTAACAAGGACCTAGTCTCCCAGAGCAACTCCAGCTGCATTTGCAAGAAGGCGGCAGAGCACCCCCCCAAAAAAGAAAGTCAGGGAAAGCAGGGAAAGTTATCTTTCATCATGCTAATCTCTTTACCAAGGAGATAAACGCTCATGAGTGAAACATCTTGTGATAAGCCCTGAAACTGGGTTATACTGTAGCAACATTTCCCCTTTCAACAGAATGGAAAGAAACAGCAGAAAAGCAGCAATTGAGAAGAACAAAACACAGGAAAATGTAAGACTGTAAAACTTCCCCTTCTCTCCAAAGCCCTCATCCCAAGCAGCAGCACAGCACCTACAAACAGATTTTCAGTTCTACAAAGAATATGATCATGTTTCATATGTCATGTAAAGCTGGAAACTACAGTAAACTATTTCTCATCCTCCATCAGGAAATAAGGTATATTTTACTATGTCAAGTTCTGCTGAGGGTCTCACAGGTCTAGTGGTCAATTTATGTACAAACCTAAAGAACTAGCTGGGGTGCACGGGAACAGGACAGAGGCAGGAAAGAGTTTCTGAGGAAGAAGCAGGGTTCTGGACACCCAGACAACACACATTGAGTACATGACCAAAATCTCAAGAAAGAGAGGCTGGAATAGTTCATTTCCACCACCTATGCCAGAGGGAGACAACACATACTGACAAAGCATATGCATGACTTTTGAGGGTGCCAAGAATCACGTTCCATCCATCACTGATTCAAGTTTTCCTGAGCAGCCACAGACAAGAAAAATGAACATCCAACTTGCCGATTCAGTGTCTCCTCTTGTAATATCTCCTTGCTTCAGTTTAAGCAGAATGTGTAACGTTTGAATGACAGAAAAAACATTCCCTGTAAAAGCCTTCAAAGCTGGAATTCCACCATAGAGAGCTGGGTAGCTGCTTTGGAAACATTCAGTGAGGAGATCACTGTTTGACTGAAGGTGTGGTCCTACAAGTGGTTTCAGCCAATTTA